GAGTCTTAGACTGGTAAAAAATGGGGCTGGGTGGGGTGGGGCGGATAATAGAGTAAGTAAATATTTAATGCAGATATATTTATATATATATATAAAAGGAATTGAACCCTAACCCAATGACGTAGTTTGATTATTGGCATTGATTATATTTTTTTTTTACTGTTTACATATGTGTAAACACATTTACCTGGTAAGTATCGCAAGATTAACTAGTAAGCAGCATGCCACTAAACAAACAGAATCTATGTGCAGATTAAAAACAAGTTCAATATTGTCATTGCTTGTATGCGTGTGTTCACATAAGTATGTGCTGAAAAATTCAACACTCGATGACTCTGCAAACTTCTTCTGATTAGTAATAATTACAAAAATTAATCACATCTTCACCTATCCCTTAATCTGCTGGACCGTCTGTCTTGGACAGAATCTCTCTCAATGGCAGGCCTGTCATTCCTTTATGTTGTCTTGGAGAGAATCTCCGTCAATGGTAAGCCTGTCCATTCCTTTCTGTTGTCTTGGACAGAATCTCCCTCAATGACAGGCATGTCCATTCCTTTATGTTGTCTTGGACAGAATCTCCCTCAATGGCAGGCCTGTCCATTCCTTTATGTTGTCTTGGACAGAATCTCTCTCAATGGCAAGCCTGCCCATTCATTTATGTTGTCTTGGACAGAATCTCCCTCAATGACAGGCCTGCCCATTCCTCTATGCTGTCTTCCCATAGCTTTGTCTGCCTGCCCCTTCTTCTTTTACTAGTTCTGTTCCCTTAAGGAAGGTCTTTTCGAGCCCTCAGATTCTTGTAACATAGCCATCAAATTTTAGTTGTTTTTTTTTTTTAAATAGTTAACAGGTTACCGTGGAGTCCAATCACTTAATCGCATCTCTATTTAGTCATTTAATTTGAGAAAAAAAAAAATAGTGCGAGAGTTTTTTCCTTATTATTTATTAGAAGACCACATTATGTGATGTGCGTGTAGCGACCCCAAAATCAGATATTTATCACCATTCCTTTATTTTCATTTTTCTTTACAGAATTGTTCCTGCTTACATCGCGGTGTGATTACTTTTTAAAAAGGAGAATGCTAAAAAAAATGTGTAATGACTTAGTGGAAAAATAAAAAGTCCACAGAGCTCGGCATGAACACAATTATTGGAGCTATTTTTTTACTGAAAGGAATCATTTTGAGCCTCTCTACACACACACACAATTTCTGTTTTTTGTTCTTTATCGAGTTTAAAGAGCGAACACAAATATTTAGCTTCAAAAACAAAATTCTTATCATGTAAAAAGAAAAAAAAATGAAATAAACAAAAAACAACTTGTTTTCATTCGGAAAGCAGATAGAATGTCTGATATAGATAAAAACATTTTGAACAGCTGGACATCTGTATATCATTTGGGTATGTACAGTGTCATGTTCTGAGTGTACTAACCTGGTCGGATATGGGACTGGTTGTCTGAACTTAACAATGAGATCAAAATCTACATGTTTTCACTATTTTAGATAATATTTGTAAGGTTTCAAGAATTACGTCTCAGATATCAGGGAAAGTCCATTACCACTCTCTATTGAGCTGAAAATTAGGCGATAGTAGAAGAAACTCAATCAGACTTGGAAAGTGGTAAGTGATGAAGATTTCTGTTACAATGTTTCATTGCTATTAATGTAGGAAGAACAGAAATATGTTTTCTTATAAAAGATGTTTTACTAGTAATTACATTTTGTTTTGAGCTAAACTTAAAACTCTGGGTTTCTTTCAGGATTCGAATGGCAGTTCAGACTTTCTTGAGGATGCTTATATCTGATTTTATACATACTTTATATATATATATGGTTAAATCTTAATTCATTTTGCCATCAAATATGTTAACGAAGTTTTGTTTATATCTTATGAGTCTAGGAACACATGTCAAACATGTATAGGCCTATATATATATATATATGTATTATATATATATATATATATTGAAGTGGTTGCATGTTCTACTTTTTATTTTAAAGACCTTCATTTAATCATTCGTGAAACATTATTTTCCTCGTTATTCACACCATGTACGAGATTAGGACAACCTGTTTCCAAACGTTTTGTTGAAGTTTTTTGTTTATTCAGTGATATGTTTTCCCTGCTCTTAAATAATATAGTTTATTAAATCTTCCTTTCGTGGTCGAGAGGCTAAGTATGCTTGAGCTTGGCTTGAAGGGGTCTTGAGGTTCAACACCCGACTCTGGCAGAGTTGTGTTTACTGAGCGCCTAAAGGCAGCATGGAAAACTCTCCAAGATACTCCCCCCCCCCCCCCAACTGGTCCACAAATGAGATTGGACCATAGCGCTCTGAGCATTATATTAGCATGGAAGTAGCGCTGTATAAAAGTTATAATTATTATTATCAATTAAAAGCTTGTGTGAATTTGAAAAAGTACAAAATATTCACATTTCTCTTCATTTCAGCCCCTGTGAAAAAAAGTCTTTTTTTTTTAAATAATGTCAATAAAATATGCTTCAATATGTTTCCTACAGACCTCAAAAAAAAAATGTCTTTAAAATTCACACCTGAAAAGTTGGAAAACGACGTTTTCATGTAAATGTGGAAGTAAACAGAATACATACATACACAAAATAGTTTAACAAAACGTAAAGTTTTCGATTTTAGGGAGACAACTACAGAAATATTATTCAGGCAACTAAATGGTATAGAAAAATTAGCTGATTTAGGAATGAAAACCAGAAATAATACCATTTAAATAAATTTAATAAGCTGAAAATATTTTCCTTGGAGTATTAAACAAGTCAGATTTCAACTGAAAAAAAAAAGTGTCTAAATCACAAGGTGGATATGCAAAAGTGATAAGAGTTAGCAAACCAAAAATGTTTGTAGTCCTCTATGCATTCCCACAGAATAACATAGGATGGAGATTATTGGACTCACTTTGTTACAGGAACAACTTGTTCCAAATGACAAGACTATATACTTATTCAACCCCTTCCTATCTACCATGTTTGTCTGACCTCTATCAAGACAAAGCCTATGTACATTTCCTTATTGGACCTTTTCGTTGTTTGTTGGAACAAGAAGATGGTACATCCTTGACATTTAACTAGTTGACACTACAATGATCAACAATGTGGTGACTCAAATAAAAACACACACAGGCAAAAGGGCTAGGGATCACATGACCAGGAGCCATGCAGACAACAAACAAAGAAATGTTCATAGTGATCTCTTTAATGTCTGTTCATTTTACCATTGTTCAAGGATAAAAGTAATTTTTTAAAAATGTGCATACTAATAGACCCATGAAAAACATGTCATGTTAGCCAGCATACTGCCAGACTTTACAATACTGTACACATCAGACAGAGTAATGGAAATATTTGTTTTATTTTATTAACAAATGAACTCTAGGGAAATATAAAGCAACAAGTTTGTTTTCAATTCTTACTAAACATTGAGAGGCAAGCTATTTGTAAGGCAAACATTCTGAGAATCAATTCAGTAAGAAACTGATCAATCAGATCAAAGGATGAAGTTAATGGTATTAAATATTAAAAAGAGTGTTCAGCATTTGCGTATCTAGGTTCATTTGGGAGCCCGGAGGGGGGGGGGGCTTAGGGCCCCCCGCATTTTGACGTTTAACATGATGGTGTAATATTTAATGTAAAAACAAATTTTTGACACTCATTGGGGGGGTGGGGGGGCGCCACCTCAAGTGGGGGAGGACTTTGGATCCCCCTTCCCCCACCCAAACTACAGCACTTGTGTTCAGTGTAGACTTTCCATTACTGATCAGTCTCATTATATAGCAATACATCAACTTTGATAACATTTGAGCAATGGACTATCTGTAGTACTGTCAGGTTTAAAGATAAAACTTTATTTCATGAGAAGTTTGCTTTTAGTCAGTTATCAAAAGTGTTGCACCTAAGGGGAGAGCCTAATGTAAGATTGTAATAAACAAGGGAAAAGAAACTCAGATCTAGCTAAGTTAAATCCAACCTCTTTACATCCTGAATGTTTTCACCAGATTGGTTTCCCCAGCCATTTGAAATTGTGCTCCTCCTAAGCTACACAGGAAGAACTAGGTAACATTTCAATCACTGATGTTTACTATAAAGATTACAATCTTTCTCTCGGTATTAATAAATATTGAAAGTACTGGTATTGTACAAAATGTTACAATCAATTTCTTGGGTACTACAAATACTGACAGCTATAGATGAAATTACTGATAATAAATTGTTCATTAAACTCAATGATAACATAATCATCAATTCTATCAAAAATATAAAGCTGTTTATAATAAACAAGCTCTTCAACTTTCCTGCTTTGATCTAACAATTGTTACATTTTCTATTTTCTGATTCAGAAGTAGTTACATGGTATAGGACATAACACAAATCTTTGAATGTTCTGATTGGTATAATCCTACTGGTAGCTACAGATTGGATACAAAACACATGTACCAAACAACAACCACCTGACTTTGTGTTTCTGAAATTATACTAATGTTGTCAACACAACAGATAAGAAGTTTTTTTTATTTTATTTCCTTCTCTTTAAAAAAAAGTCTAATCATTAGATTGACTTGAAACAAAAATATGGAACTGGCTACTGATCAGAGCTATAAAATCAAGACAATATATATTAGTCAGCCAAATTTATAGCTTAATAACATTGGGTTTCAGCAAAACTTACTTTTGAACCAACATATAAGTTCATCAACAAACAAAACTATTTTAAAATGTCAAGTACAACTGCAACCTTCAAGAGTTAGATTTTAATTACTTCAATGTCATTCAATTTACAAACAAAACAAACCTGAGCAAGACAGTCACTGAAACATATGAGCAACATTCAAACTGAGAAAATGCACTAGCAATGTATAAAATGCCATTAGCAAATATCTGCAGAAATCAGAGACAATTGTTACTATTAATTAAAAGTACAAAATCTTGCCAATGTCTCTCAGAGATAATAACTAGAAATTTTAAGCACCTGCCAAATTTAAGCTTAATAACAAAAAAAAAAAAAAAAAGAAAAACAAATCAGCAAATAGAGATATAAGTGTTATCAGTAATTACAAAACTGACAAGGCATCAACATTATGTGGATCAAATAAATTAACAATGTCATGATAACTAAAAAAAAATTCAAATCAGAGTGAATAAAGAGTCTCAAATCAGATTGACGTCAAAAGTGTCAATAAGAGTAAATCAAGAATCTTAAATCAGAGGGAATCAAGTCTCATATCAGAATAAATCAATAATCTCAAATCCTAGTGAAGAGTTGCATTCAAGTAAGTGAATGAACTACCCATGCCACAAACTAAATTCTAATTCATCTAAATCCTCCACCAGGTAAAAACTTGCAAAACATTGTTAACTTCAGTTCATTTAAATTTTCATTTTTTTTTTTGCTTCCAACACAGTACCTTTTTGTCTTGGGACATTGAAGCAAAAAACAACAGAATTATAATTCTCTGCAGAAACTGAATCAAGAGAGATGGCAAGTTTTAAACAGAGCCGAACTCTTCCATCCACTTCTTGTATTTTTCAAGGTCTTCTTGGGAGACACTCTTGCTCACTTTCTTAATGGCTTCCAGAAAATCTTCCATTGTGGTCGGCAAAGTCAGCTCATTTTTAGGGATATTTCTGATTTCTTCTGGTCGAAGGCCAGCTATTCTACGTCGGAATGACATCATGGCAGCATCTCTGAAAAATAAACATTAAATCAACAATGAAACTATATTTTTTATTTGATTTGTTTTACAATATTTGTAAAGAAGAATTGGTTGCTTGTCTTTTCTATATTAAGTTTACAAGACTTGCAGAAGCAATAGGTGCTTAACTCATTGAGTGCGGTGTTATTTTGTCAAAAAAATGCTACTTTTTTTTTTCAAATATGACTAAAACAAAAATGTGTAATTCAAGTACCAATGATGCTATAGTAACATTTTTGGTATCAAATTAAAGGTAAATGAATGGAGAGTTTGAAAATGTTAACAGCTTTTCATTTAAATATAAGATACAAATTATAATTTAAATAATATGACATTATAACAAAAAAATGGATGCCAGCCTTAGTACTTGTGAGACCTAAATCTAGATTTTCATCTTTGCATTACTGTTGAAACAGCATATTAGAATATTTACAGCTTTATCAAAAAGAAAAGTCATAAAACAATTAATAAAAGATGATGAATTACTGATTATATTATTATTTTTATCTGGCTTTCTAGTCAGCCAAAAAGGGAAAGTTATTGCACTTTTTATGACTACCAATAGCAATAGATACCAGCACAAAAACCATCAATCCAATGTACTGAAATATTATGTACATGTGAATCAATGGGATTTAGATCTATATTTCTCTTACTTTTAATTGCCTAAGAAATCTTTGATTCTAATACCACAACAGTGCAAGAGATTGGTTAGCAAGAGATCCAAGCATAGATCTCAAAATAGCCGAAGGCCAACACCAATTCTAATTCAGTTTACCTAAGATCTAGACCTAGATTTTCATTATCCTGTTCATTTGTGATAAATAATGAATGTAGAATAATTTTTTATTTCCCTTTTATTTACCAGTATTTTATTTTACTTACAAGTCAGAGTGCAATATAAACAAATAAAGCCTTGGCAATGATGATTTTTACAAATAAAAAAAAAAATGCTAACAAAATAATTTTTAAAAATGCCTAGCATGTATAATTAGTGGATGTAGATCTACCATTTCTGTTGTTTTCAATTATATACATTAGTCTTAGTCTAGAGATCTAGCTAGATATAGAGATAAAAGCTTAGATCTAGTCAATCTTGATCTACATTCCAGACCTAGCCTTAGCTACCCTAGAACAATACTAGATCTGGATCTAAATAGTAAATACTAATAATATCCAATTCTGTTGCTAAATCTAGACCTACTGTATCTATCTAAATCTTCATTATCACTTATATCACTATTATAGAAATTCTAAGAAATATTATAAAGTTTTTTCTCTTCTCTAGTAAACATTGTGGGTGTGTCTTGGACTAGCCTAGCCATGATGATTTTTGCAGATAAACAATACAAAAAAAAATCTAAAATGGGCAAAAATGCCCACAGTGGATGATTATTGGATGAAGATCTAATATCTTCTGTTCTTTTTATTTGTTCTAGGCTTAGATCTAGAGACAATAGCTTAGGTCTAGTCAATCTCAATCCACACTTTACACCTTATGACAATACTAGTTCTAGATCTAAATATTATATACATATATATATAAATAATAAATACAAATATAGATTTATTTTTAATAATGAATTATCCTACACTAAATCTAAACTTACAGGATCTAATCTTGATCAAAATCCCTATTTATTTGTGATAAATTACAGAATAATTATAAAGTTTCTTCAGTAGTAAACATTGTGGGCGTGTCTAGGACTACTGTAGCCATGGCGACTTTTTCTACAAATCAAAAATCATAAAAAAAAAAAAAATTCAAATAAAGTCTAAATAAGGCTAAAAGCTTGTTATTGCTATGTAAACATAGGATGAAGAACTCTTTTATAGAGAGAAAATAGTTCTAGCATTGTTAGTTAAAAATTTAGATTAAAAAACGCAATGAAACTAAGGTAGGGTACAAGCGTCTTTCCCAGAGACGTTTCGTGCATTTAGGGTAGTCAGACTGTCTCTGGGAAAGACACTCCGCACCCAATGAGTTAAGGGACCGGGGTGGACAGGCTCTTTCAGGCAAATGCCTGGTGGGTCAGTACCCAAATGAGCCGGAATGGCTACCCTAAGGGCCTCATGAACACTACTATAGAATGTATAGAATTAAAGGATTTGTAATATTCTCTGGTAAATGGGGCCATGTGAGTGTTGCATTTAAAAAAAATTTTTTTAACAGACTCTACACAATCAATGTTGTTCAAATACACACACAAATAGATGATGTTGATGGCCATTACCTTGAACCTTTGTTTGGCATTTTGTGTAGTCAACACCAAAATAAGACTGAACTGTTTTGAGTTTTACTTTACTATCTGCTAATAATCTAGTAGATCTGGATATCATTTAAACATATATATATATACACATGAGGTAATCTAAAATACAACTTACCTACAAACACATGTAATATCTGCTCCTGAGTAGCCATCTAGCAAGTCAGCAATTTCATTCAGGTTCAAGCCTTCTGCTTTCTCGACATCTTTCAAATTAATATCTAATAGTTGTCGTCGACCAAGTGCTGTTTGAAATAATATAAAACTTATTCAAATTAAATTAGAAACTAGGTACATGCCGACGTCCATTTTTCTTTACTTCTTCATAGAAAAACTATTAACCCTGAATTTTAAATGATAATAGTTAACAGAAGGCAACCAGAAGTTTTAAACTTCTTTACACTTTAACTCAAAGAAAAAAGAAATTACCATCAGGTAAAGGGATGTAAATCCTTTTCTCCAATCTTCTTCTTAGTGCTTCATCTAAATCCCAAGGAAAGTTTGTGGCAGCTAAAACCATAACAGTTTTGGTTGCATCTTCACTTTCATTGACACTACTCACACCTGAAGGAAGGAACAATTGAACAATGATCACTAGATTTGAAAGTAAACTTTATTAAATGTAACATCAAATTGTTAAAATAGTTACAGTCTATAATAAAGTAATTGCTCACCATCCATTTGTACAAGGATTTCAGACTTCACTCTGCGACTTGCTTCATGCTCAGATCCTGAGCCTCGTTTTGAGCAGATAGAATCAATTTCATCTATGAACACTGTACTTGGTGCATAGAAACGTGCCTATGATATTAATCAAAACAATCAACATGGGGACACCACAACACATAATAAAAGTAAACAATGAAAAAACAACAATCAAAAACAACAAACAAACAAAAAAACAAGATAAGATGTTTATCACAATAGAGCAGAAACAGAATGTTATACTAAATATTCATCAGACAGAACTGTTACATTTTAGGATTGGGTTAAGGAGGAAACTAAAAAATAGATGATAGGAAAATAAAAACTGCTGTATCTTGAGCTTATGGAGAGTTCAAAAGAAACGAGAAGGCTGACAGTTTGGTGAAGCTAGGAACACTTTTAGACCTGCAAGGGGAGCCACATACATATAAGAATGCAAAAGCCAGAATTTTAGAATGGATTAAGTCCAAGTGATACGCTAGCTGGGACCATTGTAGCATGAGATGCAAAGTCAGGAGGGTTCTCAAACACCCAAACACAAACAGGAAGGACGAATGGTGGCAGTCGGACAGAAAGGATCAGGCAATTTTGGCACGGTTTCAAACGAGAAAATGTCAGACAGGAGCCTACTTTGCTAGGATCTGGGAGAATCATGATCCAAGATGTCGACACTATCACACGGAAGACGAGACAGTAGAACACATCCTCGACGACTGCAAGGTGCTCAGAAACAGATTCAAAAATACAAATAGCCTTGGAACAGTAAGAACTGGTGCTTGCAGGGGTCTTGCCCTGTATGGAAACAGGCAAACCCTACAGAACACTGACAGATACTTGGAGCCTTAGTGCATGGAGGCTAACATATGGGAAAAATAACCAGTCAGAAGGGCAGATGAAGGAGGCAAGACAAATGGGTTGGTGTGTTAGTCTGCAAAAGGCCAGCCTTGAATTTTAGTGTTCATGTGATGTTCAATCTAAGAAGGGTCTCCCCTAGTGAATGTCTGAGGGGCAGAAGTCTGTATGCAAGACTATTATATGTTTCTATATGCAAGTATCTATGGTCTGGCAGAGACAGAAGAATTAGCCATCTTAGTGATGTGAATAGACAAGATTTATGCAGTATATGATATGCCAATCAATTTAGAAAAAAAATAATAATTTATGACCAACAGAGCTTTTAAAGGGACCGGTATTAGAGCTGGCATGAGTCAGTAGTTTTAAATACCTCGGAGCTATTGTCTCCGATGAGGAAACGAAACTTGAACTACTGGCCAGCCCTAAGACTGCTAACAAATCAAAGTGAAACACCAAGTGTCTGTGTGGATGTATTTCCACAGTCTAATTCCCATCAATTAATTTGTAGTTTGTTTACAAATGGAATGTCAAATGTCTGCTGATTCAGGAAACTAAACAAAAACAACCTCATTGGAAAGTTTCATTACTAAAATTGTCTAAAAAAAAAAACAAATGATTTCAGTAATTACCACCAATGGTGCCTTCTAGAATGGCTAAAATTATCCAATTATTCTGATTTGTAACTGTTTTATTCAAGAATTGTTCACCAATGTAAAGCTACAGGGCAAAAGTATTGTTACGTATCTCCTAATATCCAGACTCTCTTCAAACTGCACCACACAACACAACGAACTTAAAGAACCTCGTAACTCGGGGCTCCAAAGTATCAGTAACAGTTTAATTTCATATACATTACAAAAACTGTACATTTGGCAACAACATTACACTGACTGTCCAAAAACC